TATGGGCGTAAGTGCAGATCTCCTATAGGGTGGTTTGATGTTGGAGAATCTGGATTACATGGGTCAGACCTAGTTCAGCAAGCCGTGGAGAAAGTAAAGCTTATCCGGGAGCGACTGTTGACAGCCCAGAGTCGTCAGAAGTCATATTATGACGTGCGACGACGAGACTTAGATTTAGGGGTTAATGACTGGGTATTCTTAAAAGTATCACCTATGAAGGGCGTGATGAGGTTTGGCAAGAAAGGCAAGCTTAGCCCACAGTCTATTGGGCCTTATAGGATCATTCGGAGAGTAGGCCAAGTAGCTTATGAGTTAGAATTGCCCTCGGAATTGGAGTCTGCCCATCCGGTGTTTCACGTATCTATATTACGGAAGTGAATTGGCAATCCTACCCGAGTGGTACCCACAGATGATGTACAGATTACGGAGGACTTGTCATACGAGGAAATTCCGGTTGCCATCCTAGACCGACAAATCCGCAAGCTACGAAATAAGGAGGTAGCCTCCGTGAAGGTCTTATGGAGAAGAAAGAATGTGGAAGAGATGACGTAGGAAGCGAAGGAAGAAATTAAGTCTAAATATCCCCACCTATTTCAAATTGAAGATATGGTTCGAGGTGGGATACCTCAGCACAACTCTATTCAGGCCAGTAGGTCATCAGGTAAACTCTAATTTTTGACTTTCAGAATTTATAATGGACAGCTATGTGAGGCCAAGTGTTGCTATTTGTTGACATTGGCCATGTGTGGCATGTATAGTATGTTTTCTGGCTGCGTACAAGATGGTTTTAATCTAGTTTACGGAGGAGACTCTGGCAAAATTTTTCCAAAGTCTCTAAGAATAAGCATTCGAGGACGAATGTTTCTAAGGGGGGAAGGATGTTACATCTTGCGTTTTCATACGTTAAAGTTTCGTCGTAAGTTAATCGATGTAAGTTCGGGAATGAGGTTATTTTGGGATTATAAGCATTATGCTATTTCAAACACGTGATGAGTAAATTCGTGAAAGAGAGAGGGTGAGCAAATAAAAGAAAATGAGTTTCGTCGAAGTTTGGCAATTTGAAATAAAATACGGTCCAAGCTATAATACCCCGTATTTATGGACTAGTGTCATACAAGGTACCATATGACCATGATAGTATGATGTATAAGGTGTATTAAAAATGAGTAGTATTTTAAGTAGTTTGAGATAATTCTTAATTACGTGGGTAATTGATTAATTATTGGTTTAATGAGAAATTAACCATATAATTAAGGATTTGTGGATAATTGTAGGTGGGGACAAAGCCCCCCCCCCC